CTTCAGAACAAGTCATGACAGTGTGACCTAGATTCTGGAGAATCAATCAAGCATCTAAGAACGTTTCACTCATACGTGAGGATCCCGCAGAGGTGCCATCTCAGGAGATTGCAGTTGCTCGGGGAGCCTCTGCCCTGAGAGAGAAGAACTGCCCTCAGGAAGTCAAGAGCACGCAGCGCGTCGGTGAGCCCAAGACCCGGGGCCAGTCATCTCGTGCTTTTACACAGGCTGAGTAAGGGGCCAATCCTCTCTACACTTGCAACTGTACCCCCAGTCTTCAAAGACTCCAGCAAATAAGAATTTTAAGGAACATAAGCAGTAGGCAAAAGAGATAGTATAAATTGCAAGAAAACATGGTACCATGAGTGAGAACTGGCAGAAAAAAGTAAAAGCTAGGAAAAATAGAGCTACAAAGACTTCATTTTAATCACAGAATCTAAAATAGCTAATGATTACTCCATTTAAAGAGACAATGGATAATTTAAAAGTGTATATATGGGACAAAAACATGAAAACATGATCAAACAGATTTCAGATAGAACTTCTAAAACTTCAATCACAAGCAGAGTTATGCAGACATTAGGTTCATGGGAAGGAAACAGCGACTAGATTATCTCAGGAATTTAGCCAGAATGCATCAAAGACAGACAAATACTGGGACATGCAGAAGAGCAGCTCCAACACATGCAGAATTGCATGCGACAGTTGACACACACCTAATTCAAGCTAGAGATGCCAAGGAGACAGTAGGACGGGCACAGGTAATATTTGAGCACACAGTATCAGAAGGCTAAAAATCAGAATTACTTCATCCCAGACATAGATACAAAAAAAAAGTTGAGTCTGAACTTGATACTGAAGCACAAGATTGTTTTAATATTTAGAAATTAATTATTATATTCTAATAGCAAGTAAATATCAAGATATTCTTTGTTGGGACACACCTTTGGTGCAGTGTTTAAGACACAGCTTGAGGCACTTGCATCAGTGTGCCAGGCGCCTCGCTTGGCTCCAGCTTCCTGCTCATGAATACCTGGGAGACAGCAGTGTTAACTCAAGCACCCATTGACCTCAGTTCTAGGCTTCTGGCTTCAGCCTGGCCTAGCCCTGGCTATTATAGATATTTGGCGAGGGTCAAAGTACATAGAATATTTTTCTCTTCCTCTCTTTCTCAAATAAAATGAAAATAATTGAATGAAAATTTAAAACATTAACTAAGGAAAGAATTCCACATAGTTCATAATTTTTAAAAATATTCCCAAACCTTACAAAAAATCAAAATGGGAGAGAGCTATTTAAACCTTATAAAATAGCTGCTAGGTTAAAACATCTTTTTTTAAAAAAATCTTAATTTGCTGCCTTTCCAAATGAAAAATGACCAGATGTCACCGGCTTCCATTTTGTCATTCTTACTTGTGTCCACATTGATCAAGTTCACTTCTCTTTGCTCTTTTTTCTTTCTACGGGGTTTATTTAAAGTGATGAATTCTGACTCACTAGAAGACATTTCATCGTGCTCTTCGTTCCCTGCATGAGGATGGCAGCGGGGTCATCCTGGCCTGGCAGGAACTTGTCCTAGTTTCATCTTGGCTCTTGACACCTTTATAACATGCTCTGTGTGAAACATACTGAGAGCAGCAGTGATGAGCGGAGCCCTCTAGGACTCGTAGTGAGTGCTGTGAGAACTGGCACTGTATTGGGAAAGCACCCCTAAAACTAGCAGAGAATGAGTACAGGGATTCTTCTGCTGCTGCTGCTGTGGTGGCCTAAGATCCCTCTAGAATCTGGAACTCATCTTAGACCTGGCAGCATTTCTCATAGGCATGGAGCTTACTGTTGACTGCTGACTGCCTGGGGAGAGCAGGAAGGACCCTGGCTGGAAGGCACTTGGGAGAGGAGCCTGGGACATTGTGAACCCCTGTGGCACAGAGATCAACTTGACTTGCAGAAGGCCTCCTGCACTTAGCCTTGGGCACTGCCTTAGGACCCTGCAGGTTCCAGAGCTCCTGTCTCCTCTCCAGCCTGTGCCTGGTGGAAAATGTCACAATGTGTCACCCCCAGGGTTGACAAAAGGAGTTGGCAGTGGGGGCTCTCTCTGCTGGCCTTGTTAGGGGGCTCAGTGCACACTCAGCATGTCAGGCCTGGGCCCCTGGCCTCTGCTGATGCCTCAGCTGAGCCTCACTGCCTTCGAATCCCCTGAAAGGAATGAAAGGGACACCACAGGTCACAGCTCTGGCCAGGAGAGGGGCACACATAATGCCAACAGCTTGGAACTGACCTGAGTCCAAAAGCAGTCAAATAAGGCTCTCTCACCCTCTGCCACCTCAGAGGGGAAATCTGGGGCATTATCACATCTGGCTATCCGAGCCTGGAGCTCCCAGTATTGACAGGAGCACAGTTCTCCTTTTGAAAAGATACTGTGGTAAACACTTGGGCTCATTTAAAAAAAAGATTTATTTTATTTTTATTGGAAAGTCAGATATATAGAGAGGAGGAGAGACAGAGAGGAAGATCTTGCATCCCATAATTCACTCCCCAAGCAGCAGCAATGGCTGGAGCTGAGTTGATCCAAAGCCCAGGAGCCTCTTCCAGGTCTCCCATGTGGGTGCAGGGTCCCAAGGCTTTGGGCTGTCCTTGACTGCTTTCCCAGGCCACAAGCAGGGAGCTGGATGGGAAGTGGGGCTGCCGGGACACAAACTTGTGTCCATATGGGATCCTGGCGAGTGCAAGGCGAGGACTTTAGCTGCCACTAGGCTACCATGCCAGGCCATTTTTAAGCAAATTATTTTCATTGATTTGAAATGAAGACACACACACACAGATTCCTATCTATTGGTTTATGCCCCAAATACTGCCATACCTTGAGCTGGGTTCAGGTCAAAGCCCAATCCAGGCCCCTGATGTGGGTGACAGGAACCCAAGTACTTGGAAGTGACTCAATGACAGCCTAGCCTTGCCTTGCAAGGTGCACATTAGCAGGAAGCTGGAGTGGAGGTTGAGTGAATTAGGACTTAACCAGGCACTATGATACACGATGCTGGCATCCCAAGCAACACAACTGCCGTGCTAAATGCGAATTCCTCTTTTCCAGCCCATTTGGCATTCATATTGCTCTGGCTCCCAATCCCAAACCAGTAGTCTATGCAGTTGTTGTTGTTGTTGTTGTTGTTGTGTGTGTGTGTGGTTTTCATTGCATGAGCTACGTCTCAGCATAGTGAACAGAAAGGTTAATTACTACACATGTGCTGTGTCTCTGGTTAAGAGGAATTGGGTGATGCGATTTCTTGAAGGATTCAGGGTCAGGGTCGAGTAGCAGTTGCATTGTTTACCAACAGTGCGGACTCAGACACATGAGCCAATGATGAGCTTCGGGTTTGTCATGTGATAAACAGGCAAGGCATGCTAAGTCCCATCTACATGGCCTGGTGGCCTGGTGGCTGAGCAGAACAGATACCATGAGCATAGCACAGTGCCTGGCAAGTCTGGAATTTGTAAAATGGCTCTTGTGGTCATGGCTATTTAAATCCCAGTCATGCACCACTGAGGCTTTTTTTTTTTTTTTAAGCCAGATGTCAGAAAATATGCAACATTCTAAAGCAAAACGAAACAATTTGGTCAAAATCCTGCTTAGTAAATAAGACTAGGTAGTATTCTCCATTAGCTGCTCTTGTGATTCGGTTGTTACCTGGCCTGCCCTAGTTGCAAGCACCGTAAAGCTTCTGGGTGTTGTGTGATGGATCGGAGAGTTGCTACCTCCTGGTTACCTTTGCATTTACCCCGTCTCTATTTTCATTCATTCACCATCATCAAAAGTCAAGTCCACACTTAGACTTTGCTGTGTTAGGCTTTGCCTAACTCAGCTCCCCAAGCCAGGACAAAGAGAGCTGACCTGGTGGCTCCCCAAGTCCCATTACACAGCAGAGTTGTGCTTGTTCTTAGACACCTCTGTGTGTGCCTGTGCTGCCAGAGCCCAGGAGCTCTTCCAATCCTGCCCCAGATGGGGCTTCTCTCCTCTGTCACATTCCGTAACCACTTGCACCACCGCGCCGGGCCCTGTCACATTCCTAAGGAACTGTTAGGAAGCAGCAAGTGTCCATTGCGGATGTAACCTCTTCTCTGAGACCACCCCCCGCCACCCAGGGTCTGGCCCCTGTTCACACTTCTGATACCCTTCTGACAGCCTCACCTAGGCCCCAAGACAGGTGGTCTTGAAATCCTCTGCCACAAAGTGGCTTGTCACTTCCCAAGGTCCCAACCAGCTTTTCCTGGTCATCGCACAGGGTGTCCCCCACCAGGAATCCTCTCTGTCCTCAGCCCTTCCTTGCATTGCCCCCAAGGCTGTTTACCTGATGGCTGCTGGGACTCTCCAGTGTTCCTGGCAGGGACCAGGTCTCTACTAAGCCCTAGAAGTAGCATAGAGCCCTTCAGACAGCAGATACTCAGTTCATGATTAGGGAACAAAAGAGCCAATGAGCACAAGTTCTCATTTATGTTGATTTAATTTCACCTACATCTTTGAACAAGCTAATAAGCAAACTGGGATATATTCTAAGGACATGACTTTTATTTTTACTGACTGACTAACAGTAATAAGAAAAACCAAAGACCAAAAACATTTTTTCTTTTTTCTACTGTTTCTTCACCATCTTTTGACTCTATTTTACCACAAATTATTGTACATTTTTCAATTAATCACTTTTCCCAAAGCTATGTACATGCACTGCATTCCAGTAAAAGATGCAAGGTTTTGCAACTTGTTTTACAAAGCACTAAACTTGACAAACATCAACTGTATGGACATAACAGCAAAAAATCAGATTAAATCTAAATAAACTTTTAAAAGAACATACTGGCAAAACAAGAGAAAATGTAAAGCTGTAACTTAGTTGTGAATAACAGAACACAACATGACACTTTAGGCTTCTTCTACCTGAACCCTCGCTGCTCAGAAGGTCAGCAGCCCTTCTGTGCCCCCAAGATGAAGACTGCCTCTGATCCTCCTAGGGCTGGGGTGCACGGCGGGCCGGGACACTAGCTGGGGTAGCAGCACCATGTTTGCCCGATTTTTTGGCTCGGGCTCGCGCTTCCTCCTCTTTCAAAGCCACCTCATACCGGGACTGGAAGTTACTGGGAGCAGTACCTTTGACCTTGGCCAAAAACTCCATGATTTTGAACTTGTTGACCTCAAGATGGGCCTTCGGACCCCACGAAAACTCATAACGTGGAGGATCACTATTGGGCACCTGGACGTACTCCAGGTACTTCTCCTTAACCAGATCATTGGTGATGAGCTTCCTGGGCTCCCCAAAGATGAAGTGCGGCTTACCATCATGCACTCCCAGCATGTTCAGGAATGCCCAGGTGTCTTCCTCACTGACATGCTGGCCATTCACGAAGATCATGCCCAGAAGAGGCAGCAGGATCCCAGTCTTGGGAAAACCTCGGCCGTCGTCCAGACACTCTTTGCTAGAAAGCTCCAGCTTGCAGACAAGATCATAGGACTCGTCACCGCGGTTGGATTCGTTGAGCTCAAGGCCAAAGACCAGCTCCATGCGCTCCCTGGTTCTCCGCAGAATGTCGGGGAAGTGCTTCCTGTACTTCTTGCCCACGATGCTCAGCACATCCGCCTTGAGGATAGACTCTTTCATCTTGTATTTGTGCAGTAGCAGCTGCATCAGCACATCCACCTTCTTGGTCTTGGGGTCTCTCTTTGGGCCCTGGGAGAGGGCCTGCACCCGTGTGCACCTGCCGTCTCCCTTCTCCCGATTCTTGCCACCTTTACCAGCACTGGAGCACGCAGCAGCCGGACTGGCCTCTCTGGTTCCCTGAGACCCCTGGGGGATGCCCGCAGTGCTGGGGGCCGCCTGCCTAGCAACAGGGGAGGAACAGGATGGCGACTTGCCTTCCTCAGCTGTCATGGCTTCAGCATCCTTGGGATCCTGACTGTGGTCCCGAGCCTGGCGGCGTTTCTCACGGTTGCGAAGTTTACTCTTCTGACCACGAGGCATGACGACTGGCTGGAGACACGGCCCACAGACACCTGGAAGAGGATGACAGGTGAAGGTGAGCCCCCTCCACCCACCAGGCGACCCCCGTGCTCCTGAAGAGCCTGTAAAGGAGCTGGCCGGCGAGTAGGCCTTGCAGTTGGCTGGCCCTGCCCAGGCCCTGGTGTCTGTGCTGTGGAGGAAATGAGTGAGGCTCTCCTGCAGCCTCAGCCTGCGGCCCCCAAGGCAGGATGCTGAGACCAGAGGTGGCTCCCACCCTTCCTGTATTCCCTGTGGCCCTTGAGCTGCCCACCAACACTGGAGCCCCAAGAGCTCATCTCAGGCCCTTCCGGCTGGGCTCCGCCCTTTCCTCCCTGAGAGCATGCCGGAAGCAGACAGACTGTGATTGCCCTCTAGCCAATCCTGTAGGGCTGGGTCTCCGGTGCTCTGACGAACCAGGGATACCGTCTTAGATGGCACTCTCCCCTTACCAGAACCCTCTAGGCTGAAGGCCACCATTGCTCCACAGGGACAGTCAGCCAGGGTTGAAAGGGGCAGCTAGACGGGGCGGGGATGCTCCATCCCTCCATCATATGCCGCTGATCAGTTCACTTCAGTGCCCATTCAGGGTCCTAACCAGTGTCGTACTGAAATTCCACCTTCTTCTGGTCTCTTCCGCTCTGCCATCTCCCCCTTCCTGAAGCTTGCAAAGCCACTTCCAGTGGGGCTGAGAACAGACTCAGGCAGCCTCCCTCACCCCTGCCCCTTTAGTGAGAAAAACAGCATTTGGGGACACCTATTTGGCCAGCCGCCTACCTATCAGCCCCTACCCCAGACCCCTCTGAGAAACTTCCAGGAAGAAGCCAGCGCCATGATTCTTCCAGGGCTGAAAGCTGGGCCGGAATGAAAACATTTGACGAGTGCCTTTTTTGCACAGGGCGGGGGTGGGGGGGGGCGGAGAAGCGGAAGGCACTGGGGCTCCCTGAAGCTCAAATTCAGGTTGCTTACCTGACTCCTGACCAGTTGTGGAACTATATCCTCCACAGACTTCAGACGGCACCCCTCTACCCTCACCTTCCAGAAACTTCTGAGGCGGAAGTCAGGGGAAGCCACATCCGCTCAAGGGGGTGGGAGCAGAGCTGAGCGGAAGGGGCAGGATGCTGGTGCCCCCACCTGCTTCGGGGATAAATCCAAGCACTTACATGCAGGGTCTCACTTGTGATAGGGCTACAGAGTCAGGGATGCCCTCCCCCGAGGCCAAGCCTTGGTTTTACAGAATCTTCCCTAACTCTGCTGGGGCCTCCAGGACTGGGAGATGGGCTGGGAGACAGGAGATCGAGGTGAGGGAGATGGCCGCACGATCGCCTTTCAGTTCACATTCAGGGCTCTTACCTTGCTTTGTAACTAGTGTTGGGAGTCCACCCTCCACTGACAACACTGTGCCACCTTCATAATGTTACTGTCCCTTCTAGAAGCTCCTGAGCTAGCAGTCAGAGGCAGCCATATGTGCCCAAGGGGGAGCAGAACCCCGGAACACCACCTCCTTTGGGACTACCCACTTGCATCTGGCAGGTCACTCCTGCTCGGACCCGGGTAGTGCCTACTTAGGAAAGCATTCCGTTTGGAGCTATTTAGGCAGAAGTTTGCAGCATACCGGTGCCGAGGCCTTCCATGTTGGAAAGGGCAGAGGGCAGTGAGGGTGCGGAATACCAGGCAGTGGTAGTACTGTGTGGCTGCATTTGTTATGTGAGGCTGCTCCACGCACATTAAGGGCCTCACCTTAACCAATGCTGGACTTGGCCCAGCACTGAGAGGAGATGGCAACTCTTCTGTCCCTGTGTGTCTGGAAGCCCCTGATGCTTTCACGTGATCAGACATTGCATGTGCAGCTACCGATGCAGACACTGAATATTCAGTTTCTCTCCTTTATGTCTCACTTGTTTTGATATTCTCATTACTCTGCTGTATATTCCAGACCAGTAGTTTGTAAGGCCGTTTCTTTCTTCTTATCGCCTAAAATACAATCTGGAATACGGAGAAGAAATGTGAAGTAGAGACATCAGGCCTGTCTCGGTTTGGGATGAATGGAGCAGCATGAGGATGATTTTATTTTAAATAAGCAAAGAAACTTTGTTTTGTTTTTCCATGGTTTTCCTCAGGAAATTTGCTAATTGAAACAAACCTCTTTGCCACATGTGCCCACTTACAGTGATGTACAAGAAGAAGTTTTCGATGGGCCTGAGAAGTACAGCTCCATTCCCTGTCGTCTGGAACAGGCAGCATTGGCAGGAATGGGGAATTCTGTTACCATTGGTTGCTGCTACTAATCAGGGTGCTTTCGTATAGTTTGATTTGGCAGATTGGACTGCTGTGTCTTAACAAATGCTGATCCCTGATCAGAAACTCAACCTCATTAAGCTTCCCAAAGTGCTCACCAGCCCACAGCACAGGAGAAGGGAATTCATGGAGAGCCAGCCAGTTTGTCCTGGAGTGGGAACAGGTTTTCACTGTTGGAAGTGACTCTGTGTACCAAAAATGACAGTTGTTTGGCAATTCTACTGGGAATGACGTGTAGGATAACTAGGAATATTTTGCTAAGAGGCAGCATTGATAAACTTGGCCTGCTCTTGATTTACTTTGCCTATTAATGACCTGGGTTGTGGTTGTGAGAAACTGACCAGAAAGGGAGTTCCATGTGCTTCCTCAATTGGCTCAGTCATTGTAATAGATCTAGGAATGACTAAAAAAAGTGAGGATAGTAGAAGGATATATTTTTTTAAAGATTTATTTTATTTTTATTGGAAAGGCAGATATACAGAGAGGAGAGACAGAGAGGAAGATCTTCCGTCCGATGATTCACTCCCCAAGTGAGCACAACGGGCCGATGCTATGCCGGTCCAAAGCCAGGAGCCTCTTCTGGGTCTCCCACGCGGGTGCAGGGTCCCAAAGCTTTGGGCCGTCCTTGACTACTTTCCCGGGCCACAGGCAGGGAGCTGGAAGGGAAGTGGGGCTGCCGGGATTAGAACCAGCGCCCATATGGGATCCCGGGCATGCAAGGCGAGGACTTTAACTACTGCGCCACCGCGCCGGGCCCAAAGGATATTTTTTTAAGTTTTTTTTTTTTTTAATTTGAAAGAGTTGGGGCGGGTAGCAAGAACAAGAGATATCTTTTCCATTAACCAGTTCACTCCGAAAATGACCACATGGCTGGACCAGTCCAAAGCCAGGAGCCAGGAGCTTCCTCTGGGTCTCCCACATGGGTACAGGGACCAAGGGCTTGGCCCTCTGCTGCTTTCCCAGGCACATTAGTAGGGAGCTTGATCAGAAGTGGAGCAGTTAGAACACAAACTGGCATCCACATGGAATGCCAGGACTGTAGCGAAACATTCCCAGAGTGCCAGGATTTTTTTTTAAGGCTTTGTTTATTTGTTTCAGATGCAAGAGTTAAGAGTTATATTTTATTGTCTTCTTGATGGTTTCATTCATCAAGATTGAACATTTTCATTGTATAGTTTTTTCACTTCTTTGGATAAATTTATTTTATATACTTTTTATGGCTATTGTAAATGGAATTTTTTTCTTGATTTCTCTTTGTGAATTCATTATTGGCATACAAAAAACCTTACTGTTTTTATATTTATTTTGTAAGCTGTAGCTTTACTGAAATGATTGAGCAATTCTAACAGCTTTTTAGTAGAGCCTTTACATGTTTCTGTGTGTAACATCATTTCATCTGAAAACAGAAGCAGTTTGCCGCCTTCTTTTCCAATTTTGATGCCCTTTGTTTCTTTCTCCTCTCTAATTGCTCTCCCTACAGCTTCCAGTGCTATGTTGGATAAGAGTGGCGGAAATGGACGGACGCCTTGTCTTGTTTCTGAGATGAATTTTGGCTGTTGAATTGTGATACATAGCCTTATCTTTTTGAGGAATGTTGCTTCTATACATCATTTGTGGAGGATTTTATTGTGAAAGGATGCTGAATCTTATCAATGGCTTACTCTGTGTCTATTGAGATCTTTTCTCTGAAAAGGAAAGACATCTGCTCGTGTGTTACCACCTTGTGTGGATTGGATTTGTCTTGTCTAGCAGAGAGACTGCTGCATCTCTGCTCACTTCATCCACACCTCGAGTACCTGAGTGGAGGCACAAATCATGACATTTGTGACATTTTTCTTTAACTTCCTCATTTGTGAGATGCAGGAATGCAGCTGGGAATGGAGCATATAATAACTCCAATAATTCATATTTCTAAGAGAATACTGAGTTCTCTATAATAGAATCTATACTTCAATAATACTTTCTTTTCTGACATGTTATGCAGCATGCTTACAATGAGTGTAGATTTTCTAATAAGAAAAGTCACCTGGGTTTTTGGTGGCGATCTGAGCAATTAACCATGGGCCAAATTTAAATGTCAAATAGGCCTTTTATGTCTGAGTCTCTCAAAGGTTTCTCTCTGTCCACCTCCTCACCTAATCCAGGAAAACTAGATATATAGTTTATATAAGGCACCATTAGGACTGATCATCTTTGGTGTTTTAAAGGACTGACACATCAACAAGGCGAATGCCAGATCTGGGGAAGGGAAGGAAGGCCCTCTCTCCAGATGATGGCTGCATCAGGAGTCCCTTGACCAAGCCTCTCAATATGTCCTGCAAGGAATTTGCTGACTACATCTCGCAGCACCCCTCTTCTGACCAGGCTTACAGGGAGGCTGAACAGCCCCAATTGGCATCTGCTGTAATTCTGTCAGTTACTGTTCATTTCCCTGATGTACAGCTTAGTGATGTTTCTCGTGCTGCTTTAACTTTTAAATGGCCAAAAGGACTTGATCATTGCCTAAATTATTGCACAAACTGCAGGAAAGTGGGATTGGCAACAAAGAGAGAAAGAATTTGCTTCCAGATCATTGACACTACATGAGTAGATAGAACAGCTCATGAACTAAATGCCAACTGTCCTCTCTCTCTCTGAAAATTCTACCTTAGAATCCATTACTCAATGTAAGCAGCCTCCTAAATGAG